ACCATTACCAATTAGATCTGCCCAGCCAAGGCTTTGTCTAGCCGGGTCTTCAAAACCTCTAAGGACAGAGAGTCCACAAACTTTCCAGGCAACCTGTTCCAGTGCTTTACTTCCCTCTAAGGAAGATTTTCCTAATATCTAACCTAAACTTCCCTTGATTTAACTTGACACCATTGCTCCTTTTTCTGTCATCTGCCACCACTGAGAACAGTCTAGTTCCATCCATTTTTGAGCCCCACTTCAGGTAGTTGAAGGCGGATATTAAATCTCCCCTTTGTCTCTTCTTCTCCAGACTAAATAAGGCCGGTTCCCTCAGCTTCTCCTCTTAAGTCCTGTTCCCCAGCCCTCTAACCATTTTTGTTGTTTTTCGCTGGACTCCCCAATTTGTCCACATCATTTCTGTAGTGGCCAGTACTCTAGATGCAGCCTCACCAGTGCCAAATATAGGGGAATAATCACTTCCCTTGATTTGCTGGCAACACACCTACCAATGCAGCCCTGCATGCCGTTAGCCTTCTTTGCAACAGGGGCACACTGCTGGCTCATATTAAACTTACTGCCAATAAGTTAGGGGAGAAATGTTTTATGCTACTGGAGATCTCCCAGTCATGGTCTGCAGAATGTACCCGACCAGGCACATGCTATTGCACCAATTCTTAGCTACCAGTAGGTCGGTCCCTGTTTTCACTGTGTGTCAATTACAACTCTACTGGCAATTAAATGCCACCTTTTTGGGAAGGTATAATAGTGCTAAGAATTACTATATGCATTTCATGTTTTGGTAAATTGTGGTACACAGAAGTTAAGTTTATTGACCAAAAATCACAGAGCGAATCTGTGGCAGGGCTGCAAACAAAATTTAGAAAGCTCTCTGCTCTTACCCCCCTCTCTCCCTGTGCATAGATACCACAGACCAGAAACAGAAACCTACAATTTGAATTCCAAGAGAGCCCTGAACTTACATATTAATTAATCTGATTATATATTACTACTGCCACATTACTTATTCACATTTCAAAGTCAAAGTCTATGAAGTACAAGTGGGACTAAGGTTCTCACTTCAGTTTTGTCCTTGTATTTCTTCCCAAAAAGGCCTTCTCTCAGTCATACATGCTCTGACCGCAATTTGTCACATTGTAGTCTGTGATGACCTCTATTTCTAGTGATTCTATTTGACACTTTCTTTGCATTCATGCATAAGCCAGACATAAGCCTTTCTGAAGCATTCTACATTCAGACACCTTTAGAATAAAGAGTCCACATTTAAATTATGAGAAGTGCTTTTTTTTCTTTTCAAATTATAGGCTGGCTCAAGTGGTGAGTCAGAAGCACAGCAGACTCATTTCTCACCCCTGCCTACACAAGAGACAAACCAAAAGCACAGTTCTGTATGGCTTTTTTGAACCCCACTTTCATAACGGGTGCTTACAGATGCTGTGCTTTGTTTATCTGAGCAGTGATCCCATGAGTACAAAAGAAATACCAACTGCTATAGCCACAGGGAATTAAACTACATCCTATACTTTTGGCTAGGAGATGAGCATCTGTAAGCAGGCAATGACAGAAAGAACAATGTTTATTATATTTTTTTCAGGCCTCTATAAAATCACACCAATGAGTAAGGAGTTTCAGTGAAAGAGACAAAAAATGGGGTTTGGAAACTGAACTTTTTTAGGATGCTTTGTTTTATGGCTTTAAAAAGCAGCATCTTTCTAAGCTATCTGTCCCCTTCCTGTGTTCTTAATACCTTAAATGAACTGAACTCATTATCTAATATGCACGTACAATTAAGTTAACAAATCTCTTCAGATGTCAGGCAGAAACAAGGAGGATTTTCAGTCTTCACTCATGAGACACTCTATCGACTACTAAACAGCAGAATGAACTGTGATACAAGAGTTCTCATTCTGGTCTGGTCTGATGGGTGACCTCAGACAAGTCACTTCACTTCTCATGGTTTGTTTCCCCATCATAATACTTGATGAAAATACTTTAATGACTGGCAAAGCACTCCGAGGTCTGCGGATGAAAAAGGGCTAAATACTGCTGTTATTGTACCTCTCCATTTTTCAAGATTAGGAAGGAAACACTATTTCTTGTTGCTTGTTAAAAGTAATCTGAATTAAGTTTCATTCTGTTCTGCACAATTTCTTACATCCTGCTCATCTCTGTAACATCAGAGTGCATTCCAGCAGCTCACTAAGCAAGAAAACCAGTTGTGTGCAATTTGCCCCTTCATGTTCTTCCCACTAGGAGAATCAGGTACAGAAAAATGTCTTGTTTTGGCTTGATTTGGGTTTTTATTTTTTAATATATATAGTCTGTTGCTATATATTTGTGCCTGAGAAGGCAAGGCCAAATAAGCAGTACTTTCACTTCAAAAAAAGTTAAGACTGTGGTGATCCCTAGAAACTGGCAGGATTCATTCCAGTCTCAGAACCATCCATTGTGCCAGAGGAGCATAATAGTTAACAATGGCTTTCATCTAGGAGTTTTAGACGATCCTTTGGCTATCCTAAGACCAAGTTATGGAGGTTTTTCAAGGTCAAGATCCTGGCCTTGATTTAAAATGCTACATGAGGGGATGCTTGAGAGGCCCACAGTAACCTGTGTTGCTGAAGAGATATATTGCAGCCGTCCATACTAGATGGCATTTTTATAGTGCTACAAGCATCACATTCAAACATTCAACATTGCTGAGATCCAGCCAGAACTGACAATCAAGATAAAACCATTGTCTAACAAGATGGGGATGAAGTTTTCTAAGCAAGCAGAGGATAACAGAAGCAATGCTCCCAGATGCCGCTCTGTGGGAGCTTAACATCACTGAGGAAATCCCTGAGTATGGCTAACCTAATCTATTTTAAGTGCATGCCTTCAACCAATGGAAAACTGTAATGTTATCAAACTGTTTTAACTATCTTACTGTTGCTGTGTATGTTTCTTTTTTTGCAGAGATCATGTTGTGAGGTTGTGGCATCTCCGTCCCTGTAGTTTTTTAAGAACCCAAGGCTAGAAAAACTTTGCTGGGATAATATAACTGGGACTGATCCTGCTCTGAGCAGGGGTTGGATTAGATGACATCCTGAGGTCCCCTCCAACCCTAATTTTCTATGACTATAATTTAAAAGTGTGATTTATAAGATGAGTACATCCTTAGTCTTGTCTGAGATGCATTAATAGATGCATGCCAGTGTTTTGTTTGCTTTGCTGGCATCACATTCATGGCTTATGATAATTCTATGGTCTACCAAGACCTCCAGGTCTCTTCAGGCTGTGGTGCTGGTAAGTGTAGCACTGTTGAGGCTGTAAGCATGTTGCAGGTTGCTTCTCCCCCAGGTGTAGCACCTTACATTCCTTGGTGTTGAACGTCATCAGGTTTTGATCCGCCCACCTTATGAGCCTGCCCAGGTCAGCCTGTATCCCCCACCTATTCTCCAGCATGACCAGTCCCCCATAATTTGCTGTCATCTGCGAACTTTGCCAATCTGTTTTTAACACCCAAATCCAAGTCATTAATGAATATGTTAAAAAGCACCAGTCTGAGTACTGAACCTTGAGGGATGCCACCGGTCACCAAGCGCCATGTTGACTCAGTTCCATCTATTATTACTGGGAATTACTAAGAGAATGATGTTCTTTTATTCTGATTATTGACAAGAATAAAGAAGGAGTATAGAGTAGACAGTACAATCACAAAAGAAAGCAGGGCCCTGTGTTTGTTAGTGGGCCACTCAGATGAGAACTTTAAACCTATAAAGTTTGGGGGGGGGGGGGTCAAGGAACTAATGTAGCCTTCTGAACCAGGAGGACAAGCCAAAAACACAACCAACCCAAATCCCTAGATGTGCCTTTTTTTCTTCCTTTTGATACTGCAGAAGAAAAGCCACAGAATAAAAACAAATTATTACCTTTGGTAGCAGTAATATTAGCAGTAGTAAAAAGACCCAGTACTCTTTCCTTCCATGGCAGGGGGTGGGACTAGATGATCTACTCAGGTCCCTTCTGACCCTAGAAACTATGAAACTATGACCTTTTATTTCTGAGAAAAATTGACAGCAAACCCAAGTAAGGAGGTTAGAGAATGGCCAAAGATGGAGGTCAGCAACTTATGGCCCAAAGTATCATTTTATCCATCCCACAGAGTCAAGGGGCTTCTGAGGTACTTCAGCAGCAAGGGACTTCTGCAGTTGGGAGCTTTGCCCAGGCATCAGCTGGGCAGCAGAGAGCAGCAGTGGCGACAGCATTGCAGGGCAGAAGGGTGAATGCCCCTGGTGTGATGATGGAAGTATGGGCTTGGTTGGAAGCAGCCTGTGCTCAGAACCAAGTTCTATTAAAGCCCCCCCCCCCCCCCCC